AGCGATTGCCTGAGGACAGCCAAGCCTCTTAATGATATGAGCTGCGACACCTTTCTTGGCAAAGGGGACCTGCCCAGGGTGCAGAGCCAAGGAAGGCTCCACGAGAGGGCAAGAGGACATGGGCCTTGGCCTCCCAGCCCCTCCCCTGGATCTGCTTCTCCATCACCATTTCTGTGACCTTCCCTTTTCTGAACAAGAACAGAGGGATACCAGATGCAGCACTACCTCTGGGATAATAATTGTCCGTTGTTCCAAACGTTATTCTTGCGGTGTAGAGGGTCTATCACCCCATCACGCTCCTTTCGTAATCTTTCTATCTAACTTGTGTCATCACACATGACCCTGTTGATAGTGGAAGATGAGGAAGGTCCTCCAGGTCCGCAGAGGATGGGACAGTAGCAGGAGGGGACGCTGGCAGGAGATAACTCAACTCAGACGTTATCAATTTTTCTGTATCCTGAAAAAAAAATCACAATGCTGCTGCCACTTATGCTTTTCACATGATAATAAATTGCAAGTCACACTTGCCCAGAGATTTAAATGCCGTCTGGCTCTCTTCCCCTTTTTCGGGTGTGATTATCTGCCCTGGCAATGAAGTCCACGTCTGAAGTCCTGTGATTATCTCAACCTCCAGCTGGCGCATTGTGAAAGTCACTGTTTTGGGGATATTGTTGCAGCTGTAGATAGGAAAGCTTTACAAAAGTTTCTAATCCTATATTCAGTTCTGCTTTGGACCCACCTGTCCTAACCTGCTGCAGGGTTTCAGTTTCTCAGGTGATTGCTCAGATGTTTCTCTTTGGGAACGCTCTAAGACCTTGTTCTGCACAGTCTGGTCCACAGCACCAGCACGTGTTAGAAATGCAGAGTCTCAGGCGCCACCCTAGACCTGCTGATCAGATCTGTGGCTTAACCAGATCCCCAGGTGATTCAGATGCAGATTAAGGTTTGAGAAAGATTTTAGGAAGAAAGCTTCCCAGGTGGTGCAGTGGTAAAGAATCTGCCTGCCAATGCAGAAGACACAAGAGACAGTTTTGATCCCTGGGTCCAGAATGATCCCTGAGAGAAGGAAATGGCAACCTGCTCCAGTATTCTTGCTTGGAAAATTCCATGGACAGAGAAGCTTGGTGGGCTACTGTCCATGGGGCTGCAAAGAGTCAGACACAACTAAGCATACGGAGACTTTGCTTTAGGAATGAGAAACTTTCTTGGTTGGGTGGGTTTGAGAAATCATGCTGAACATTCCTGGGCATAGAACACCTTTCTAAGATGAGATTTAGTTAACTCAGTGCTGAGCGGCCCGGAGGGATGCTCTGTTTCTCTCATACAGTTCTAATGAGAAAGGGTTAATAAGTTCTTCAACAGCTGGAGCTATTTTGCAATCAAGGACCAACATAAAAAGACAGCAGGCCAGGCACAAAGGCCAGCCTGCCAGAGCTGTTGGATTAGAGCTCCTGAGAGAGCCTCGGAGAAAGTACTAGTCGCGACTTCTGACTTTATTAAACTTTGTGTGGTGGCAAAGTTTGTTTGAACTTCACTAAATCCTCCAAATAAAAGACTAGCTTCAACCATCTGGTTCTCTAGGATGAAATAATGTAATTCAGGACAGGCAATTATCAATAATTGTTTTAGGACAGTTAAGAATGGAAACTCTTAGTCCCACCTGCTCTGTTTCCCTCTTGAAAGTATTTTTTCAGCTAAACCTTTTGAGTGGAAAGTTGAACCAGGAAATTTTTTTTATATCTTGCTTTAGGTGTTGATTCTATCTCATTTAATCCTAGTATAACTTTGCCTTGAGAATGCAAAATTTGCTCCCCCTGAACAAATATACAAACTACCTAGTTTCTTTTTTTTCTTTTTAACTTTGCTTTCGTTATTGTCTACATTTATGTTGTCTTTAAATTGGTCCTTCATTCTTTTCTTCCTAACTTTCAGTCCCATGATATTTTGGGGTTCTCCCAAAACATTTTCCTATTTTTCTTTCCTATTAGCCTTCCAAACCAGATATACTGAAAAAGCATTTACTGAAATGTCCAAAAGGACTCTTCTATTGACATATATCCTAATGTCATTTTATATAATTTTGTAAACAAGAAACCCAGTTTTCAATCTGTAGCCCTTACTTCCCCAGACTCCAGAGTTTTGGGGTTATTTTCTCAGGTATGTCCTCTCTGGAGGTTTTCTATGACTACGAGTAAGAACTCATAAGTTGAGCTCTAAGTTCAGAGTTCCTGGGTGATCTCGGGGGGAGTCCTGTTATCTTCCAAGTGCCTCATTTTTCTTACCTGAAAAGTGAGGCAAATGCCATCTCCTTATCTTCAGAGAATAAGAGGAGGGCAACAAAGTCTTCGAGCTTGTTCTCTACAGAGACAAGTGCCCTGAACTTAACATGCTTCGTGTAGAATCCACACTACCCTTTGTGACCCATCTCCCGTATCTCATCAACTGGTCTCCTCACTGAACCAGGCGCTTGAATACCGCAGGCCATTTCAGCCCTGTCTGTGAGTGCTCTTCCTTCTGTGGGATAAGCTTTCCTCCTTGCCTGCGCTAGACCTCTTTCAACATTTCCTGTCAACATCCCCTTTTTGAGCAGCCCTCCCTGATTTCCCCAGGTCAAGTTCACTGCCCCTTCCTTGGTAACCCCCATTGTTTACTATACATTTCTTCATCACTGAATCTATCACCTACACTGTATGTTTACCTACACTGTGCATTTTTTTCCCAAAGGTATTCTTCTGCCTTCTCAACTAAACATGAGCTTTTAGAGTCAAATATTGTGACTAATTCATGGCTGTGTTCATAGGACCTGGTTTGGCAGTTTGGCACATGATTATGGAATAAATGAATGCATGGCCTTCTAGACCAGGCTGCATTTGTTTACTATAAAGAGAGTTTTGTATAGGACTCTCTGTTACAAGCAACAGAAACAAACTTGAACCTCGTTATGCAAAAGGAGAGAATTTGTTATGAGTTCCAGGATGTCTCATGGAACCCAAGTGTAGGAATGCAGCCAGACTCTAGGACAAGAATGGAACTAGATACTTTTTTTTTTTTTTAAAGAAACTATTTTCCATCAACTGACTTTCCATTTTAAGAGTCTGTGAAAAAGCAGTTTAAGACCACTTAGCGATTTTTCCTACCCATTCGGTGGCCTGAGCAGTGCGAGCTGCAGACCAGTCTGCAGCGGCAGGCTGAGCACAACAGTCTGCAGCGAGGAATTCCTGAATAGGTGCAGAAGACACCTGCAAGACTTCAGACCAGTCCACCACCTCAGGCTGAGCAACAGTGAACTCTGGAGCTGAAGTGGGACATTCATCCTGAAGTTCCTCCTTGGTCACAGCCTTCTCAGCTGTCTCCTGCCCTTCCTTTTCAGTCTGCTCAGGATCTCTGTAGAAGAAGAGATCAGACATGACCTCCCCATGGGTGTTCACAGTAGATGGTGCCACACGTGTGCAGGACTTCCCAAATGAGCATCCACCACATCAGACCCACTGAGTGAGCTCCCTTCTTAGGATCTTACAACAGGATACATCAAGTTAGTCTGAAAATAGAAAGACTGAGTAATGCCTGAGAAGAGTAAGAAATACTGGGGAAAAGCGGAAGAAAGCACAGGCTATTTTTTAAATGTCTTCATCTCTCCTTAAAGCTCTCATATGTTAAAATTATACTTTTATAGCAAGTATTACTCTAAAACTCCATTCTTTAGGCCAGAGACCCTTGAGGTGCTAGTGAAAAACTTGCTCCTCATTTAGCACACTACCTATACTTGTGAGTTCATCGGCCAGTGGCTTCGACTCTGAGCTCTAACAATATGCAAATGGAGCTAGAAACTTAAAAAGATTGCTTTATTTCTCATTTCTGCTCCTATGTATTCATTTGCCACCTCCTTCTCCTCCTCTTCCTTCCTCTCTTTTTCTTTCCCTCTTTCTCTCTCCCTCTCCCCAAAACTCCCTATGGGTTTCTTGTTTTCTCAGATCACATGAAGAAACTATGTGTTATACATCTAGCCACCTATAGAGTCTAATAAATATTCTCCTGGTTTCAGCTCCAAATACCCAGTAAGAGAATCTGTTTGACCCAGCTGGAGTCAAATGTGCACCTGTGGACTAGTCACCTATAGCCAGGAACAGCAGAAATTCCCGGAAAATAGGGCAAAAGTAGACACCTCTGAATGTGTCCATGAAAATGATATAATCAGCTAGCAATTTAAATGCCCAACTGGAGATGAGTTTAAATGATTAAACTACATATGTAAAACACCATATTTGATGACTTTTCAGTCTCATGCCACAATAGATTCTACTAATGTCCCTCTGAAATTAATTTTCATAGACTTTGGGAGTCCTTATAGTTTTTAATGTGGCTCTTCGTGTTGTTCTTTAAGTCCCTGATAATCAACTCCAATATTTCTCTAGAAAAATATGAAGCAATATGCCACTTAAGACATATGTTTCTTAGTTATTTAATATGAAGTGTGGCAACAGTAGGTGTCTGGTATTCCTAGAGCTTTTTCAGTTCTGCTCTCATTTAAGATTCATGCAAAACCTTTAATCAAGTCAGTTCACTGGGAGATATCAGTTGTGATGGAAGAAAACTTGGAGGCTTTATTGACACTCTGAATTTCAATGCTTGTTTCTAAAGGGGAAAAACATGTCTTTGTCAACAAATTACATTTCATTTTCTTTCCAAGTCTGTTATTCTGTTGGCTTCCACAAAGTTAAATCTGGGTAAAAGTGGGCTGTCTTTATCCTTGTTCTCTATAGGTTGGGGAACTGAGGATGGATTAACCATTGCAGATAGGATGTCAAAAAGCCTTCTGAGTCTGGGGCACCAGCTCACAGTGTGTTTGAAACTGGGTTGGACAATCTCCCAACAAGTAAAAATTACAGTTTCAAAAATAGAAGGGCTATCTTGAAAGGTGAGATGGAGCAACTATGGGGAGGTTTTCCTTTGGAACTTTGCCTCCTTGTAGTGTGCCAGAGGAATAAATGAGGATTACATACCTTTGATGTCTGTTCTTTTAGATTACAGTCAGTGAATGCCCATTCTTCTTCAGTGATGGCAACTGAATTTTCTAACAAAGAAATATTATCTTACATGTAGCTTCTCAGTTGTGAAATAATTATTATTGACAACCCACCAGAATTAGGACTGGGAATAGACTATAGACTTACAGTTTAGTCAGTTGATATTGTGAGCCTATAGTAATAATACTATTAACATTAATAATAGCAACAACACATTTCTAATAGTACTTTATAACTTAGAGACATCCTAATGATGTCGTGAATGTGAAAGCATTTTGTCTTCAGTGATAAAAATATAAAGTTTTTATATTACAACCAATATTTTTGAGTCATTTAAGTTCTTATATGTTTCAGGAGGTGATGAGAATTTGGAAGGCAATGAAGACATTCATCGTTGCTTCAAGGAGGTTTAATTTTATCTGAGGAGGCAAGATTATTACTATGAGACAAATAGAAAGAAAGACAACATTAACTTGTATGATATGGTTTCTAAGAGAGAGGGAATCAAAGAGGTCTAGAACAAAAGTTCCATTAGGTCAGGGAATATTTTTTACACACCATTGTATCTCTATCACCTAAAACAATGCCTGGAATATAGTAAGTGTTCAACAAATATTGGATGATTATTAATGAATGAGGACAGACTTAAGCATCACATTAAGATGGACATAATTTGAACATATATGGAGAACAGAGGGAAATCTAGATAACAGGAAAAAACCATATATAGAACATGAGCAATGAGTATTCTTTAGAGGAAAAACCATTGAAAGATGGATTGTTTGTTTTGCAGTGGCACACGGAATGGCTCATAAACTGAAAAGAGCAGAGGCAGGAAGAACAATTGGGAACCTGTTAAAATTATCCTATATCTAGTCCATCACAATACACCATTGACTTGGTCTACCAATTTCTCTCCATCTCTGCTACCTCTCTAGCTTCACTCAGCCTTCTCTCACCTGAACACTGCAACAGCTTCCCAAACATCCATTTACATCCCCTCCTGCCCTGCCCCATACATCCTGGAGACACCACGAGCAGAATGGTTTTCACAAAATTAAAATCTGATCACATTGTTTTTCTGCTTCTCATTGCTCTTAAGATAAAGGTAAATAGCTTGGTTGCTATGACCTTATGTGGCCTTGTCTCCGTCTGCTTGTCCAGCATAATTTTGAACCACTTTGCTACTTACTTTTGTAGTTATCCCGGCAATATTCTTCTCTGACTCTTTTGAATGTGTCGTGCTCCTCTCCCAAATCAGGGCCTTTACATATGCTGTTCATTCTTTCTGGCAGACTCTTCTTACAACCCTTCTTCCTTTGGGAATAACTCAAGTCATTTTCTTGGGGAATCATTCACAAACTTCTCTGGTATAGGCCAAATCTTGTTATTACATGTTTTCAGACTCTTATATGTATTTCATTATCATGATCTAAGCTAATAATTATTTCCATGACACTCTTACTCCTCTATTAGACCATAGACTCCATGAGAGAAGGAATATATCTTTTTTGCTCACCATTATATTCTCAATGCCTGTCTCAGTTCCTGGAATTCAACAAATATTGGTTGAGTGAGTAAGTAAACAAATATATGAATAGGAGTCTGAATAGTGATGGTGGCACTAAAAATAGGAAACATGGGGTCAATGCAGGCAGCTTAGAGGATAGAATTAGCATGGAAAAGAACATGGTTTTAGTGTCAGAAAACCAGGGTTTAAGTCCTGACTTCTCTATCAATTGGCATAAATTATTTTGGACCAGTTCCTTAGCTATTTTTAGTCTCTATTTCCTAATCTTTTAATAGGAAACTGTACCACTTGTCCCCAAAGTGTAACAAAGAATGAATGAGAGAATGTACACAAAAGTGCTTTGTAACCTATAAAGCTCTTAACGAATTTATCTGTTTTATAGCCAGAAATGACCTTAGGGAGAATCTTATCTGAACTCTGGCTTTATAGATAAGGAAAAAGAGGCAAGAGAGGTTAAAGGACTTTTCTAAGATCACTTCTCTGCTTCGTAAAAATACTAATGATGGTAATGATTTTGATGTTAACATCACTTGAGCACTTTTTATATACTAATCACTCTACCAACATAATCCTTTCTTACCTAATCACTGCTATAAAACTATCCCGCAGAGATGATTTCTATTTTATATTTAAGGACACCTGTTGAAGAGTCAGGGAAGCATAGATGAGATGGAATGAGAACTCACTAGTCCTGGCTTCTTGTGTGGCCATGCGTTGTTCAATTTTCTTATTGTGGGGAGGAAAGGGGAGAATCAGACATGTCTCCTAGTTTCTGAGCTTGATTTGACCACGAGAGAAACTCAAGGTGGGAAAAAATGAGTTTTCTTTTTGTGAAGATAAAACTGTGATACTTTAATAGGGCTAATTTTAAATGAAATTACTGAAGTTTCCAGTGTAAGAAACAAAACCCTTGGGATTTTTTAACTGGTATTTCAAGTTCCTGTGAGGATTTTACTTCCACTTATGGAAGAGAAGAATGGAAGTGTTTATTATTGTGAAGTTTTTTACAAGACATGTTAAAATGTGAAATTCATAATTTTATTGCCGTATTCAGTATGACATGCAGATACATTTTGATTATGAGTTAAACAAAGCAAAGTATGTTATTTTTAACCACTCATTTTTATCGCAATACTGCAGTTATTGTTGCCAGCTTCCCCAGGGCAGGAAGGTGTGCTCTGTCCCTCTCCGGTTTTCCTTCCCTCCCTCCTACCCTTCTCTTGTCCCTTGTTCCTCTCTCCTTCTGTCCTTCCTCCCCTTTCTCCCATTTCTTCTTGTGGGATTTTACCCAGTCAAATTTTATTCACCAGAATATGTACAAGAAACAGCTATAAGCACGTTTCCCTCATAGGCTGTCTCTCAAGGATACAGTATCTTTGCTGCCCTGCATGTTGGTAGCCTGACAGCTTATTCACCCAACAAATATCTATTGAGTTCACTTACTTTGAACAGTGATTGAAGAGGAAGGCAAAGGGCAAGAAAAATGAAGGAGATGAAGCAGACGACAGGGTCAGACTGGAGAGATGATGACCCGTCCCCCAAACTACTACCATACAGAGCATTGCTAGAACCCTGGACTTTGATTTTCTAATAGTATCCTCAATGATAATAGTTAGACCTTATTCTCAGGGCCCAGGCATTGTGCTAAGTACTTTTGAATTGTCAAAATGACTTTATATCATGAGCCTGTTACAACCGTGCGTGTGTGTGCTCGGTCACTCCAGTCATGTCCGACTATGCGACCCTATGGACCGTAGCCCACCAGGCTCTTCTGTCCATGGGATTCTCCAGGAAAGAATACTGGAATGAGTTGCCATGCCCTCTTCCAGGGGACATTCCTGACCCAGGAATCAAACCCCCATCTCTTGCGTTGAGGCAAGTTCTTTACCCCTAAGCTACCACAGAAGCCCCTATTACAACTACCATTTGTCAGATGAACACAGCTGGAACAGAGGCACAGAGGAATTAAGCAATTTACTTAAGTGGCCCAGCTAACAAATGTGGGGCAGAAATTTGAACCCCAAACCCATACTTGTGACATCGCTTAATGTGGGTGCAAACCACATTCCTGAGCGTTGAGAATATACTGGTCCTTTTTCAGAGAGAGAGTCCGAGGAAAGTAGGAGATTGGAAGTCCAGACCCTGGCTGAATAAAACCGCTAACCTAGCCCTGGTGTTTAAAGTGACTGTCATTCTAAGTAGCTTCTCTTTCCCAGGCTTTGAGACAGCCTGTCATAAGCCACCTGTACCTTCGACCTGGAAATGGGCATGTTCATTATTCATTTAGCCTGTGATTTGAGTGAGTGATGTGCAGAGGTGGCTACTGGGTGGCTCCCGCCTACCACATTCTGTGGCTACATTTATGGTCATGTTTGTGCATTAGTATTTTCTGCTTAGCTAAATTGTGCACATTGCATTTAAGGCCAGGTTTGGCTTGTTTAAAAACATCCAAATTGGGATTAAGTATTCAAACTGTAATCTCTTTAGTGAGCGTCTGTCCACTGGATTTGTATGACATAAGGGTTATTGAAATACTGTAACTTTAATATTTTTTATCCTCTATGCAGAAATGACTCCTAAATGAATTTAGAAACTAGGAAAGACATTGGACAGATACCAAAGAACAGAGCAGATCTCATTATTTTTTAGGCCAGTTATAGCAGAGCCCACATCTGTGTAGGCTTCTCCATCCAAATTCTTTCCCTTAAGCAATAATACACTGTGCTCCTTGGTACAGGATAGTAAATTCCCTGGGGGCTTCTAATATCTCCCCTTTCTCTGTTTGTAATGGTGTTCTAAGCTGATATGTTTCCCCTTACTCTTTACCCTCGAGCTGCTAGAGAATTTGAATCATCCAAATCTAGAATATTTGCAGGAATGCGGGGGGCAGGTGGAGCGGGCTGGGGGTTAGGATGGGGGATTTGAAATCTACCCATTTGTATCTAATTGAAAAGTGTGCAGCTCTAGTTAGTATTCTGCAAATATTGAATATGAATAATCAGATAAGACACTTACTGGTATAAAGAAACCAATAAATTTTATTTTTGTGGTACATTAAAATAAAATTCAGATAAAAATTTTAAATCATAGCATATCCAGAATAACCATTTGATAGCTATATATAAATCTACTTTAGAGATATGCAAGCACAAATTATGGAATGCCAGAGAGCGTTGATTTAGGCTGCTTTTTCTCTAATATAAATAATGCAGAGTGCTGCAAATATTCAAGTACACTTAACTGAACATAATTAAAATATTGGAATATATTTTAAAAATAAATAATTAAGTAGTTAGAAGTATCTGCAATACTAATTCAAAGTGATATTCATATGATGATTATATTATGCAGTTTACCCAGTACTTCTGCTTTAAAGTGCAATAATAAAATTTGCATTTAATAAAAAGTATGATCCTGTAATATTTGAGGAAATGGGAAGATTCTATTTCAAGTACAAAACACAACCCTTGCCTCTCCGATCCATCGACAGATGGACTGAGAACAGACATTTTCGGCTAAGCTGAGCAGCGTGCCTGCAGAGAGAATGCTTACTCCCATCATCATGGTTTTAAATGCTGTGTCAGGAGTTTTGTTTGCCTGTCTCCTGTTCTAGGTTTTCGACTCCTCTGGGGTAAGTGACCTATGGATCTCTGTACACCCAGTGTTGAGTATAATGCTGGTGAGTAGTAGGTGTTTAATGCATGCGTGTGTGCGTGCTCAGTTGCGTCTGATTCTTTGCCACCCCATAGACTACAGCCCTGCAGGCTCCTCTGTCCATGGGATTTCCCAAGCAAGAATACTGGAATGGGTTGCCATTTTCTCCTCCCAGGGATCTTCCTGACCCAGAAATTGACCCAGAAGTCTCTTGCATTGGCAGGCAGATTCTGTACCACCGAGCCACCTGGGAAGCCCCGGGGTTTCATAGATTAATGAATCCAAGAGTGTTTCTACCCTTGCTGTCTGTACTCAGCACAGTTGCAGCCAGGCATGCTTCTGCTCAGAAATTTCCTCTGCCTGGGATGCCCTTCTCCCAGATACAGGCAGAGCCCACTGCATCTCCTTCTTCACACCTTTGTTCAAATGTCATCTCCTCCAGGAGGCCTCCTTTGACTACTGTTCTAAATAAAATTGCCCCCCACACCTCAATACACACTTTCTAGCTCCCTTTGTATCACTATGAGATGTTGTGTAATTTACTTGTTTATTTGAGTATTCTTATTCACTCTCTCTAAAAAAATGCAAACTTCATGGAGGTCAGGATTTTCTCTTTTGTTCACTGCCTTATCCCCAGCCCACAGAACAGTGTTTCATTCCTAGTAGGTGCTCAGTAATAACTTATTGCATGAATGAATAAGTGAATGAATGAGTTACAGATGGGGAAAAAGGGTTACCCTGCAGGTCTTAAGTCATATAATGAGTATGATTGTATGATATGTTCAATATTTTTAGGCTCAAGACTAGAATCAGACACACTTGAGTATCTTTCTGTCTCACTGGCCATTTGATGGCTCCTCAAGTACAGATGGAAACTGGATGTGTTCACTGACTCAAAATGCTTGCCCAGTGTCCAATGCTCAGTGCTTGTCCATTGATTCTGTGATCGCCTCTGGAGATCTGAGTCTGCTCTGAAGCCTTGGCCCAGATGGGTAACATTTGAGTCATTTATTTGGGCCAGTATGGATTCTTAGCTTTCCTGGGAACTTGGCTAGGTAGCTCCCTCCCTCAGATGTTTATTGCCCTTGTCTTTTATTGTTCCCCACTCCCAAACTCCTCACGGCCTTGGGTATCATCACAGTATCATTCTCACCCAACACCTCACAGGTC